TCTCATGTACTTGCAAAGTCCCACCTTGCTTCCTTGTCTTTATTCTGCACGCGCCTCCCTTGGGAAGGGCGCTAACATGGCATTCGATGGTCACAGTCAGCAACAGCCCACACAGCACTTGTGTCCCTGCTCCTTCTGGCCCTGTCCCTCACCAGTTCTCTCCCCATATGTCCTCAGCTTGTCATTTGGCATTTTTCCTTCCATTCTCCTTCTTCCAATTAACGTCTCTACTTTTCCAGATGCCCAGAGCAATTTGGTTTGCCTGGCAATTCCCTTGTCTTGGGCTCCTCCTGGGAATATCTTAAAACATTAGAAAACATGGAATGTAAGAGCTGCCAGAGCTGGATCCCCAAAAGGGCACCACGGCACCCCCTCCCCCAAGAAGTGCTGGGCTCACTTATTTTCCGGCAGGTCCTCTTACACATCCCAGCCCTCCGTGTAACTTTGAAGGAAAACCATTCGATAAATGTCTATGATTAGATTTCACCCTGGGGCCAGAATGTGATCCCTTGATCAGAACTTTCCCAAAGCAGGTTCTGAAATCTCACGGCTTGGGTTCAGATCTCAGCTTTACCACCTCCTAGCGCTGGGGGCGTGGGCAAATTGGGGAGAGTAACAGTGCCTGCTTTGTGGGGTTGGGAAGGATTGAATGAAGTAACCCAAAATGAGCAAAAAGCCTGGCCAAGCGCCTGGTCCAGAACAAGTTCCTCAAAAAGAACAGCTATTATTCATATTGATTGTCATTATCAGAAGCAATTAACATGTATTCAACTAATCAATATAACCACTGCTTTATCCCCTTCTTTGATGTTTCCTCAACATTTCTGAGATAAAGAAGTTGATTAAAAAAAAAGTTGATTTTTTTTAACCTGTTGATTTCCAAGAAGAAATACTGATTTCTTAAAGCAAAATATGTTGAGTACCCACTTTTCTTTTGGCTGCAGTGGGGTTTGGTGGGAAGGCTACCTTTTGAGCTTTCACAAATCAAAGTCTCTGAGGTGGGTTTTTAAAAGGAATACTTGCTCGGCTTGGCAGCCAGAGTTCAAAGCCCTGGTGGTAAACTGTAAATGCTAGCCTTTAATTGTAAATGAACTCTCTGGGGCAACAGGGGTGTAGAGTCAAGTAAACATTAACACCTGATTCTGCTAGGATCACTAGTTGCCTTTTACAATCCAGCACCTCCCCCTTCCCATTTTGCAGACCTGTTTTTGAATTGAAATACATCTTGGGGAAAGCTGGCTAAGGTTGTGAGTAATGGGGTTGCCCACACGGCTACCCCTGCAGTTGACTTCTCTCCCTTTGTCACCAAGCTGTGCCTTATGAAGCTGTCTATTTGGCATCTACGTCCTCCCCAGGGGGCTGGCCCAAACTGCAGGGTTTTACCTAGAGAATTTGTTTATTTTATTTCAGGAACATAAGATTTTATCTAAGGTGCTTTGACATGGCTCATAATATGAGCCTCTGCATAAACAGCATATTCTTTCGGGTTCACACTGTTCATGTCTTGGGCAGCAGCTCTTCAAGGCTGTGCTGGATTATAGACCACTTTGTTTGTGGAATAGCTTGGGAAGCTTGGCACCATCGATTTGCATCAGTGCCTCCGGAATAGCCTTTGCCTTCTCCTTAAAGATACTATCGAAACTGTGAAATTCATTAAATAGCCCCAGAAATGGATCAGGTTATTTAACACAACATCCCTAATGATGCAATATCTCAGCTGTCTGCACTGATAGTGAACATTGTCTTGGATAGTGTTATCAGCCCAGGACACCCGCTATGAATATTGATCCCGAGCATGTTACAGCCATCACTTGCCATCAGGACAGGTCAGGGTTGGAACCCACCTAGCATCAAAGCAATTTAAAGACAGCACTCAGGCAGAATTTTAATGCCCACGTTGGAAAAACAAATCAGCTCCATGCACAGGGGGAAGGTGGCTTGCTGGATATAGGAACACCTCAGGTATAAATATATGCGGGAGGATGTTAGTGAGTGAACACAAGACCAAATTGTACCTATCGGAGGTCTTACTAGCTCCTGGTCATTTACAAAGCAGGTGGCCAGAAAGACAATTCCCTAAGGCCCCCCTCCCCTCACCAAATTGAGGAATTTTCCCTGTTTGTTGGGTGGGGGACTTCTGAGTTGGGTGAGTCAAAGGGAGCATTTTCTATCCCTTCAATGTTGATGGGAGACAGTGTGCTGTTTCTACTGCGTCATCTATTTCCAGAAGCCACACACGGTAACCTGGACTGCACTGAGCACGAGTATCAGAAATAGAGGGGAAAAAATAAAGGACAAGGACAATTAAAAAAGAATTAAAATAAGTTCTTAAGATTGAGTCTTAAAAAACGTGGCCTTTATATGCTCTTGTCTTTGTCTCCAATTTGTTGCTTCTCCCTTTGCTGCTCCTTTTCTATATTTAACACTGTCGACCTCAAAGGAAAGGTGATTCATATCTTTTAAACAAAAAAATTTTTTTAAAGATTTTATTTATTTATTTGAGAAAGAGAGAATGAGAGACAGAGAGCACGAGAGGGAAGAGGGTCCGAGGGAGAAGCAGACTCCCCGCTGAGCAGGGAGCCCGATGCGGGACTCGATCCCAGGACTCCGGGATCATGACCTGAGCCGAAGGCAGTCGCTTAACCGACTGAGCCACCCAGGCGCCCTTAAACAAAAATTTTTTGAGGCAATTTATAAAGCAAAATGAAAATGACCCAGATTGGGGCTGCTCTTGGCCTTCTGCAGCCTTCCCTGTCTCCCTGGTTTGGGTAGAGGGCGCTTCTGGAATGTTAGCCCACCTTCCGGAGGAAAATGGCTGCAAGGTTGCTAACAGAACAGATAAGACCGATCGTGGGAGGCCACAAATATCCCTTCTGGAGCTACCTTAGGGAGATCTATTTCTACCCTGAAGAACCCAAATGTGGAAGAAATATGAATGTGCGCGGGGGGGGGGGGTGTAGTAACAGGAGGGTGAGCTCAATATGGGGAGGGAAGGAGAAAGAAAGGGAAATTAAAAAAAAAATCAAGTGAGATCTGGGTGAGAAAGAGTTGTCAAAACAGAAAGCCAAGTACCCTATCAGTATGTGTTCCGGAAGGTTCTCTGATTTGCAATCCAGTTTCCTGGGTGCCACTGTTTAGTTCCAGGGTCACCTTTTCTTTGGTTTTCACAGGGCGTGCATTCCCTCTGGTGGGAGGTGGGCCAGGGGCTCGGGCAGGGCACTTCCCTTCCTGCTTTCCCGTAAAAGCACAATCCATCATAGCTTTAGGACTAGAGCGGGTTTGAATTTCGGCAGGGCTTTAAAGTCGGCAGGGAATACAGGGGCCGCCTCTGGGAGGGGCCACAGGTTTGAATGAGAAAAGCTACAAGGAACCGGCGCGTAGGGTCTTCCCTTCCATAACAGATGGGATTAACAGCGCCCCACCCACCCCTGCACTTTAATGAGCGAGTTTCTCCTCCTCTTCCTACAGCTACCTTCTCGGACAATATTAATTGCCAAGTCATTGTTTGGAAGCCCCATGGGGCAGGGAAGGAAGGAACAGCAGAGTTAGAAGTCGTTCTGGGCAGAGGGGTCGGAGAAGCCTCAGAATTTGCTGCTGGGGTAAATGCTTACTGCTCACAGACTGCTCCCCAAGCGACAAAAGGAGAAGGAATGTTAACATGGGTCTGGCTGGTGGAAGTTTCCCCCAAGGACTGATGTTCATCATTCCAGGGGACCTGGCAGGGCAGATGGGAGCCAGCTCGATTATCTCTGTTATCTGACCTTACGTTCAAACCGGACAAGCATCTTTTAACTTTTTTTTTCCTTCTTCTTGGGGCTAGAAGGGTTTGGGGGGGTCAAAGATGCAACCTGGGTCCCAGAGACCCAGTTTCTGTTGCACATGATTGAATCTGTGACTGTGAGGAAGGACTGAAGGGCATCAGGGCTGTGCTTGGCGGCTCAGCGAGCCAGGGCAGCCACCCTCACCAGGTTCATCTCACCTGGCTCTGAGCCCGCAACCCGCCAAGGTTCCCAAAGCGGCGGGACACCCTAGCGCGGGCTTGGATCTCTCCCCCAAACCCTTGCTGTTCTGTGACCCGGCGCCGCTAGGCTCCGGCTCTGGGCAGAAGGGAAAGCCTCGGACTCAGGGCAGGATTTTCCTCCTCCATTTCTGACATGGCAGGATATCCTGGAAAGGGTACTGGCCGGGGGAAAAGCAGACCTCTCGGTTCGGATCCGGCCGCTGTCACCAGTCAATAGTAACCTTGGGCAACGCACTTCTCACCTTGGAATCTCAATTTCCTTATCTTTAAATGGGGATGATAGTGTTGCCAGGCCACTCCCTCCTCACAGGGATGCTCGGAGAACCAAGTGAGATCGCGCAAGCCCAGGGGCTTTGTAAACTGTAAGCTGTGGGAACACTAGAGCTTTTAAATCTGAGGTGACCAGGTCTGAGACCATCACTGTGATTCCCTGGCGGGGCAGGAGATGTGCGGAGGGTTGCCTTCAAGTAATCACTGCTGGCCTCAATTATATCCTCAATTCAAAGTCACCGGGGAAAAGTCACAAACCCAAGCCCAAGTCAGTGTGTGTATGGGGGGGGAGGGGATCCCCAGGATGGAATGGTCCCGCGATCCCTCGCTCGCGCACGCCCGGAGTCCCCGTGGGTCGGGCAGAGGCGCGCGGAGCCCGCGGCGGTGTATGGGCGCGCGCGCGCACCGGGCTCACGCAGGCGCCCCCGAGCCGAGGCGAGCTGCCCCAGCGCGGTGCGGGGCAGTCTTGGGGCCGCTGCGAGAGAGCTCTGCACGTGGCGGGGGTCTGGGCAGCGCAAGTGCCAATCCCGGCGCAGCGCCCCCGCGGCTCTCTCCCAGCTCCGCCTCCGCGTGCCCCTCCCCAGATCCACTTGGCCGCCCCGACCCTCCTACTGGCTGGAGAGCTGCGGCCCAGCCACAGCCGAAGGCAAGCCAGAGCGCGGCCATCCCGGACCCCGCGCCGCCGGCCTCGGGCCCGTGGGCGGCGGGCATGCTGGCATGGCAGGACGGCGGGGCCAAGGCGGCTCCCTCCCACCACAAGATCTCCTTCTCTGTCCTGGACATCCTGGATCCGCAGAAATTCACCCGCGCTGCTCTCCCGGCCGTGCGCCCTGCTCCCCGGGAAGCCAAGAAAAGTTTGGCAGAGGGCGAAGCGGGGAAGGACGCCAGCCCAGGGGACTCAACTCGGCAGCGGGAGACCTCTGGTAAGGATGCGAAGCGGCCCCCGGGTCTCCGGAAGCCCCAGCCCAGATGATGCTATGGGGAGGCTGGGAGGTGGGTGGACAACCAGGGACCGAGTGAGTGGCCGTTAGCGGAGCCTTCACCAAAGGGAGAAAGCTCACAGGACGAGGTGCAAAGCATTGCCTTGTCTCTGTGTTGGAACTGAATTGAGGCAGAAAAGAGGCCCCCAGCATCCTGGGTCTGGGATTTGCCTCCCAAAGGCCGTCCCTGCTCACCGGCCAAACCACTAAGCACCACAGCTCTGTTTTGCTCGCAGTGGAAACTAAACAGCCAACGTCCACCTTATCCAGGCTCATTCATTTATCGGGCATATGACGCACCCACCACGTGCCAGGGCCTAGACCACAGATAAAAGTCATGGAAAACTTCAGAAACGGCGAGGTAGACATGATGAATACTGCCCCCATTTTATGGACGAGGAAGCTGAGGCTAAATCATGTGTCGGGGTCTGGAAGGGAGTGCGAAGTCAGGTTTACGCACCTAGTGGCCCACTTCCAACCATCTCGACACCTGCAGAGATTCCGCTGCCCCACGCGCTCTGCTTTCTCTCCCCAGACCCAGTCGTTGACTGGGGCGGGAGCAGGGGTGGGGCGGGGTAATGCGAGGCCTTTCGTCCTTCCTACTCGGAAGGTTTTTTCACTTACTCCTAACTCTGGCGGGCACCTGATGAGGGGTCTGGGAGAGTTTGTGTCTGGAAAGACGGACAAAAGACAGCAGGACCGGTGCTGGGTGGAGCGTGGGCGGGAGGTTCCCTGGAGGGACGCCGAGTCAGAGACGCAAGTCCGAGAGAGGCTGGATGCGGCACAGCCCCCCGCTTCTCCTCCCCAAGTTTGGCAGTGATTGGGGCTCGGGGCGCCTCTGGCGGCTGTGCTTGGGCCCGGGTAGTCCGCCTGGTAATTGTTCGGATCGCCCCTCGGAGGGGCCGCACTCCCCTCCCCCCACAGCCGTGGTCGATATTCTATTACTGGCGCCTGCATATCTCCTGCCCGCAGCTTGCAGGTACCGACTTCAAACCCCCTTTCCCTGTCTGATCCTAATATTGTTCGATTAAAACTTACCTTTAATAGATGACATCTATCGATCGGGTCCCGCACAAATCTGAAACTCTATTAACACGGCAGGAGAGAGAAGATGGGAAAGAGGGAATTTCACTTTTAAAGGGGGGGGGAGGGAGCTTAATAACTTCTTTTTTAATTGCTAGGAGTTCCAGACCAAAATAGGCTTCTAGGGACTAGGGAGACGGAGCCTTAAACGCGTTTGACATCTCGATGTCTCAATGTACGGTGATCCTACCCGCCCAATACTGTCCAATATGGTCATTACATTTTCTTAATGGGGGTTGTCATTCATTCATTCAAAATTCATTTCTTGGACGTCAACTAGATAGCAAATGAGTCAAGGGCAAGAGGACACCGCACCCCTAAACCCCAACTCCTGGGAAGGGCTTGCGAGGATGTGTGATCGCGGGGTGGTGGGGGGAGCGAGAGGCGGGAGAGAGGCAGAGCTGGGGCCTCTGGGGAAGAGGAAGAGGGGGTCTGGCGACCCGGAGGGGCTGGGTCGTTCCGGGCTTCTGGTCACCCTCCCCTTCTCCACTAGGTGCTGCGGACCGCGGCGCGGGCGCGTTGTCCCCCTTGGAGGGCTCCGATGCCGAGGAGGCGGAGGAGGAGGAGGAGGAGGAGGAAGCCGAGGGCGCGGGCCAGCGGCGGCCGCAGGGGCGGGCTGCGCTCCTGCAAGCGGACCCGGCGCGCTCCCCCGAGTCCCGGGAGGCGGCGTTGGCGGCGGGGGAGCCGGGCACCCGCGGGCTCGCGGGCTCCCCGGGCTCGCCCGGCTCCCCGCGGCCCCGGCGCCGGCGCGCTGAGCCCCGCTGCGCCAAGCCGAGGCGCGCGCGCACCGCCTTCACCTATGAGCAGCTGGTGGCTTTGGAGAACAAGTTCCGGGCCACGCGCTACCTGTCGGTGTGCGACCGCCTGAACCTCGCGCTGTCGCTCAGCCTCACTGAGACGCAGGTCAAAATCTGGTTCCAGAACCGCAGGACCAAGTGGAAGAAGCAGAACCCCGGCGCCGACGGTGCGGCGCAGGCGGGGAGCGGCGCGCCCCAGCCCGGGGCGCCCGGGACGGCCGCTGGAGCGGGCGGCGGCGGCGGCGGCGCGGGGAGCAGTCCCGGACCCCCGGGCCCGGGCGCGCTGCCCTTCCAGACTTTCCCCCCCTACTCGGCGGCCAACGTCCTCTTTCCGGCCGCCACCTCCTTCCCGCCAACGGCCGCAGCCGCCGGGGGCCCCTTTGCGTCCTTCCTCGGGCCCTCCTACCTGACCCCTTTCTACGCTCCGCACCTATGAACCCGGAGCTCCTCGCGGGTCCACTTCGTCGGGACTCACGAGTGATTGGCGTGGTCGCGGGTTTCCTCATTCCACCGAGGGGCGCCGACGCGCAGGGACCGCCCCCTCGTGGTGAGCGGGTGTCTGCGCGCCCCTTCCTTTCCAGCTGTCCCGAGGCGCCACCAGAGGGCAGGGAGAGGCTGCCCGCCCGCTCCAGCCGCGCCCCTTCCCGCCCCGAAGACCCCTTGAATCCACGCGGTCCACAAAGGGGGTCAGGGGTCTGCCGTCTTTAAAGGTGTCCGGAGTGAAAGCTGTCCTCAACGCTTCCCGTTTCTGAACCTGGCTCTTCACTTTCGGTCAGGCTCAGTTCCGTCCAAGGGCTCCTTCCGAGAGTCTGGGTGTCCCGAGCAGGGCTAACACGGCTGCGGGGATGGAGATGCCAGGGAGCCAAGACTTCTTGCCCGCCGGTCGCTCACACTTAGGATGGAATCTTCTTCGAACATTTTAGCTCACTCAGAGGGTAAGCAGCTTCCCCCTTTCGGAGCGTATTGGTTCCTTTTTCATACTTGATTATTGGCCCAAACCCAGTGATTCCTCCCAGATACCGAACGAGCTGCGTCCACGAGCACACACTGCCGCTGTGAAATGGACTGTTTTTAAATGCACAAAACTGCACATTTTTAGATCTTCATTTAAGATTAAGACTTGAGCGCAATTCTTGTTCCAAACAGACGCCCCACAGGCTGTTCCTGAGAGAGTAGGTATCTTACTTTTCTGAGAAGACGAGAAGTTTCTGCCAGGCAATATAACGACTTTGTGGTTAGACTTAGCTGCTGACGCAGGCGCGGTTCGGCTGTCTTGGAGGTTTTTGAGAGCAGCTTTGACCAACAGGCAATGGCCTCACGTGCTTAAAATTGATAATGAAGGGACCAATGGTTCAACTAAAATCTTTGTTTATGCCTGACGCTGTGTTTGATACTCTCATTGGTCTGTCCTGACATTTCCTAGGCTCCCAAATAGTGAACGGAGCTGGGAAAGGACAGCTCCCCCAGGACACACGACAGTCATAAATTGGACTATTTTTTAAAGGTACAAACTCAACATTGTTAGAGCTTCATCTAGAGCCATTCTTGTTCCCAACAGACTCCGGGATGGCACAACATGCAAAAGGTTGTCAAGGGTGTGAAGGAAGTAGTTCTTAGGCTAAAGGAGGACTGTCATTTAGGCAATGTTTTGTCCAAGCAAAAACATTCCCATAATGAATTCAACCACGGGAACTTACTGTATGGCCCTTAGTTCCAACTGCTACTTTTATTATGTCCCTGAAAATATTATTCTGTAAAATTCTCATGCCAGATTTATTTGGAATACTGCCTTCAGTTTTCTATGTGATATGTTTGGAGTTCATATCTCAGAAACCCTGAGGTTCCCAGCCAGGTCATGTCTGTTTCATTCTTACCTTTGTTACTTGAGGTGGGCTGATATCTACACGGATACCATACTGCTTGCTATTTTTGATAGCCTGTGCCATTAACAATTAAATTGAATGATCAAAGGCTTCTGATAAAGCAAGCCCAGTTTGGTGTCACGAACCCATGATACTATAATTTTGAAATATCTAGTTCTATTATTATCAGGAATGATAGAAAACATCCCGCCTTCTGCCAAATTAAATGAAAACTTCATATTCACCAGATGCTTACAAGATTTGAGAATGGGTATCCTTTAATTATATATGATGTGCTAATTATTTGTTTCCTTCTATGTTAAAGAAGAGTGTTCCCAGACAACCGCATTGTAACTTTCTAAAAGACAATTGATGCCAGATGAGATTAAAAATGCAGTTACTGTAGTTGAGAATGTTTTATTCACTTTACCTATTGAGAAACACTCCCTCAACAACTGTTCTTTAGTTTTTGAAAAGCAACATCCCATGTGTCATGAACAGGCAGTTCAAGTGCCCAGAGTCAAGATCTGTAACAAGAAGCTGAATTTCTGTAAGATGTGGGGAACATTTCATCTCTCTCAGGTACCAGCCTCACAGAAGACTCCAGCAGAAGAGGGACTAGGGAGGGAGGCGGGAGGCTTATCTGTCTGTGGACTAGCACGGAGTGCTGTCATTCCTGACCTTTCTGGTTTCTACACATTGTGCCAGAGTAATGCTCCAAGTGTGTGACTTTGGACTTCTGCTGCTTTGAAAGGCCCAGTGGCTTTCCGACCAAATCCTTAGACTCAATCAATTGATGTGTTTGTCTAATAAATCCTTTTTGTAATGATTTCTCATTTAACTATTTCTTGTTCTCTATTAGCAGAGTTTTTAACTAATTTTATAATTATCCCAGTTTGTATAGATGTGTCTCCCTCCCCCCACCAGCTAGTCTCCACAAATAGAGGGTATTTCTACCCTAACATGACTTTCTCATGCCATGCTAGATACTTCTTCAAACCCATACTAGATAGACACGTAGTGGCTACGCTAGCGCGCAGTATATACAAACACACAGGGCCATTTTCGTAGCAAAAGTGAAGTACCTTACAGAATTTTGTTAGTGGCTACAAATTAGATCAACCCCTACGTACCAGATTTTTAGGACATTAACTTCCTAGTCTTATGTTACAAATTCTTAATACCCCATAAAGAGCCTGGTAAATAACTTTTTAGGCTTAGGCTGTCCATTGGTCATAGATTTCTTTCTTTCTTTCTTTTTTGAAAGATTTTATTTATTTGAGAGAGAGATAGTGAGAGCAGGAATACAAGCAGGGGGAGTGGGAGAGGGAGAAGCAGGCTTCCCACAGAGCAGGGAGCCCGATGTGGGGCTCGATCCCAGGACCCTGGGACCATGACCTGAGCCAAAGGCAGACGTTTAACAACTGAGCTACCCAGGCGCCCCTGACTCTGATTTATTCTCGAAAATAAAGCTTGTAGGGGCGCCTGGGTGGCTCAGTCATTAAGCGTCTGCCTTCGGCTCAGGTCATGATCCCAGGGTCCTGGGATCGGGCCCCATGTGAGGCTCCCTGCTCAGCGGGGAGCCTGCTTCTCCCTCTCCCACTCCCCCTGCTTGTGTTCCCTCGCTCGCTGTGTCTCTGTCAAATAAATAAATAAATAAATAAATAAAATCTAAAAATAAATAAATAAATAAAATAAAGCTTGTTGCCACTAAAGGAAGTACATTCTGGAGCCACCCGGGCGCCCCTTGGTCGTAGATCTCTGATGTTAAAAATGACCATTGCAGGGACGCCTGGGTGTCTCAATCGGTTAAGCGTCTGCCTTCGGCTCGGGTCATGATCCCAGGGTCCTGGGATGGAGTCCGTCATTGGATTCCCTGCTCCACGGGGAGTTTGCTTCTCCCTCTGCCCCACACCTCCATTCCTGCTCACGCTCTCTCTTTCTCTCTCTCAAAAAGAAATAAAATCTAAAAAAAAAAAAAGTGACCATTGCAGATCCCCACTTGAAACCACACAGCCAAGGAGCCCCATGAGTTTAAGGGAGTGAGTGAAAAGCCTGCCATACATTGAGAAATCCTCATCCATTTTATGGGCACAGATCAATTTAGTGTATTTGTCTTTTTTTTTTTTTAAGATTTTACTTATTTATTTGACAGAGAGACACAGCAAGAGAGGGAACACAAGCAGGGGGAGTGGGAGAGGGAGAAGCAGGCCTCCCGTGGAGCAGGGAGCCGGATGCGGGGCTCGATTCCAGGACCCTGGGATCATGACCTGAGCCAAAGGCAGATGCTTAACGACTGAGCCACCCAGGCGTCCCAAGTGTATTTGTCTTTTTAGAAATAACTGATAAAACCTGCTTAACTACCTTTAAACATTATGAGTAGGCTAAAAGGTATTCTTGAGTAAACGCTAATAAGTACACTTTTAAAAAACGTAATTCCACCTTAAAGTCAGTTGAAGGGAAGCACCTAAGAGTCAATGAAGTGGGAAGACCCAGACTCAGGCAAAGAGAAACCAGAAAGTGCCCCCTCCCGCCTCCAGCTAGAAGCTGGAGGCAAATCCCAGAGGAGCCCAGTTGTGGAGACAAAGGGAGAGAGAGCCTTGGAGGGAGGGTCGCTTTCGGGGTCAGCCATGCTTGCCACACCTAACCCTCTCTTGGGCTGTGATTTTCAAGGACTACATGTTCAAAGCCACTTCTACCCCTCTGTAGCTATGTGATTACAGAGTATCTGTGTGGAAAACACAGAGTTTGGTGCCTGGCACAATGAAGGTATTGTTATTCCACTTGAAGCTAGAAAGGACATTAAGCATGCTGTCCCTAACCCAACCACCTCACTTACAAAATTTTTATTGCAGTATAATAAACATACAGAAAACTGAAAATATCAGGTGTGTACGGCTTGGTGCATTTTTGCGAACAAAATACACCTTTATAGGAGTGCCTGGCTGGCTCAGTTGGTAGAGCGTGTGACTCGATCTCAGGGTTGTAGGTTGAAGCCCTGCTTTGGGTGTAGAGATTACTTAAAAATAAAATCTTAAAAAATATATATATACCTTTATAATCAGCACCCAGATCAAGGAACAGAACATGATGAGCATCTCAGAGGCCCCTTGTGTCCCCTTCCAATAATTACCTCCCCCAGTGTAACCGCTATCCTGACATCTAACAGCATTGATGAGTTGTGCCTGGTTTTCTTTCCTTCTAATTATAAAAATGGAATCCTACAGTATGTACTTTTTTGTGCCTAGATGTCTCTGCTCAACATTATTTGTGAGTTTCATCCATGTTGTGGTATATGGTTGTAGATGATTCATTCCTCTTGCTGTTGGCATATTATCGTATTTACAACTTATGTATCCATTCTACTGTTGGTGGGTGATCAAATACTCTTTCATTGTTTTGATTACTGTCTTACACACTTCTTTTGGTAACTATATCTTTATACTTTCATTTGTAATATATCCAGCAGGGGGATTCCTGGGTGTGCATATGCCTAGCTTTAGTAGATACAGCCAATCAGTTTCCCAGTGTGGTTGTAACAGTTTACATTCCCACCTGCAAGGAAGGAGAGTTC